TATGTAAAACTTAAGTAATAATTGAAACAGGTAGATAAAAAACAATTAATTTTAAAATTCATATTAAAACGGAGTTGCAGTGGTAAAAGATTGGAGGAGAACATTTAAATTTTGAAATTATTCTGTTTAAAAAAAATACTAAACTCATTAATATTATAAATGCGAAAATAGGTTTGTTTATTACTTATTAGCGGCTAACCAATTACTATGACATTTAGTATATACGCATTTTAATGAGAAAAATAGGATCCTTTTATCCCGGGCGGTAAACATATCCCGATCACATGAACGAAGATGTAAGTAAAAGTTAGTAAAAAAATTATGTAAAAAAAAAAGTACAGAGTTTCCACTATATAATATTATACTGTATATATAAATATAAATCAGTGGGAGACTTTATATAAAAGTCGATTGTTGTACCTCTGTACCTCTGTCCCATTCGTGTTTCAACCGTGAAGCAATTGTGTTTGCATGGCTGTGTTTCGGTTTGAAGGGTTGGATATGGCGTGAATTTACAGGGTTCAGAGGAATAACACCTGAGTCCTCAGGAATGGCAACGCATAAGGGTTATCATGGGCGAAACAGTATACAATGTTATGTCCATAGTACGGTTACCACTTTCCATCAGGTGGGCCGTCAGCTTGTTTGCCATTCTAAGTAGTATAAAAAAAATCCCAAAAAGGGTCGACGTCAAGCGTTAGGCGTTTAGGCGGCCGATCGTAAGACTATAAACCAAATCAGTTAGTAATATGGATAAAACCAGATTACGCTGATTCCAAATAATAATTGAGATAAGGGTAGGAAGATGATAATATTATTTAAATTTAATTCAAATCCATTCAGTAGTTTTTACGTGAAAGAGTCACAAACATCCATTTATCTATCCATCCGTCTATCCATCATTACATACTTGGGCATTTATTATTTTAATAGGATTTAATATAATTAACAACTCCGCGAATACGTTTGATGACATTATTACACGTGTTATATTAATAAAATTATCGTAATCTTAATTTATATGTTTACTAATTAGTGGCTGCCAATTAAATAGAACTCTTATCTGTATTTATAAAATCGTTAATCCTGATTGATTTTTTTTTATTCAACTTAGAGTGGCAAACAAGCTGACGGCTCATCTGATGGAAATTGGTAACCGTCGCCTGTAGACATGAGCAGTACCATGTACATGACAGAGTATACAGTTTCGCCCATGATACCTCCCCATGTGTTGCCATTCCTGAGTACTCAGGTGTTATTCCTCTGTACACTGTAAATTCACTGCCATATCCCACTCTTCAAACCGAAACACAGCCATGCAAACACAACTTCATCATCAAGGCGTAGTCAAAAAACCACTATGTCTAGAAAACTGAAATTTGGAACATAAATGTACTCGTATTTTATAACAAAAGTATCTGCTGAGGATTGAAGGATTTTTAAAAATTTCGATTTGAAAGTGAAACGCGACACCAACGCGTGCAAAGCCGCAGACAACATTTAGTCCTTCATATTTCTCGGGAAATTTTCTCATAAATCATCTACGTATGCAAACTTGAATACAGAAATTATGCTCATTACGTATATTAACCGCACATTTTAATAAGTGAAAACTCATTTAGTACGATGCAATTAAAAGGTTACGACTTAATTAAGCAATTAAACAACCGTTTGTTTGTTTTTTACTACTTGCTAATAGATAATATACCTCTATAGAGATCATGTTTTATTATAATTAAACATTCAAGGACAAGTCCGTGCAAAAGGCATGAATTGTTTACGACCATTTGACGCTTTAGTGGCTTCATTAAACGCCATTAAATTTCGCATACATTTACTATTTGGGATGGTGAAAGCAATAGACTATTTTTTTATGTCAGTTAATCAACATATTCGAGTCAAGTTGTTGCTGTAGGCTAGTAACACATGATATTTCTGTAACTTTATTTATGTTTGCGACTTAAATGTATATAGGATATATTTTTGTTTTGTTTGACATATCTTTTGTATATTCACTTATTTTTTTTTTATACAACTTAGAATGGCAAACAAGCTGACGGCCCACCTGATGGAAAGTGGTAACCGTCGCCTATAGATATGAGCTGTACCATGGACATAACACACTATTCTGTTTCGCTCATGATACCCCCCATTCGTTGCCATTCCTGAGGACTCAGGTGTTATTCCTCTGTACCCAGTAAATATAAATATTAGATTATAATGAAAATGTACACAGACGGACTTATCCCTTACAGGGATTTCTTTTAGTCGACCTCGATATCTCGAAAGAAGAAACTGTGTTATGTTGTTTCTTGACAAAGACACATGCCAAGATAATTCACTAAATATATCAAGTAAGAACTTGTACAATACAGCATGACCCACGAGAGTTATTATTAAAAAAAAAAAACTACTCATAGTCAACAAACATTCGTCATTTGTAACTTATTAATTATTAACTAACTGCTAAATTAACTGATCTATCAACGTATTACCTACACTGCTGATGTTTGAATCTACAAATTTTGAATGTATTATAGGTTTTTTTATGGTGTAGGCGTACCTACACCATTACACCTTCGTAAGAATCCGATGGGAGCGAAAGATAGGAAATTTGTGTGTGTAAAGCTACAAAAAGTAGCTGGTCATTATTTTCATTGATAAATCTATCAAACATCCCAATCAACTATAGACGAGTTAAAACCATTATTTTTCTTTTAAATAAGTCTACTAATAAACTAAAATCTATTAGTAACTGAACAGTTTTCTCAAAAAAAGAACATTTTTAACTAATAATACATACATATTACTAATTTTAAAAAGACTCTTATGCACTCTCAGACAGACATTGGTGAAGTTTCGCTCAAGTTCTGACATGAGAGAGACTTTGTACAAAAGTCGATTGCTTGAGTACCTCTGTCTCATTCGTGTTTCTACCGTGAAGCAGTTGTGTTTGCATGGCTGTGTTTCGGTTTGAAGGGTGGGATATGGCGTGAATTTACTGGGTACAGAGGAATAACACCTGAGTCCTCAGGAATGGCAACGCATGGGGGGTATCATGGGCGAAACAGTATATGGTACTTTGTTATGTCCGTGGTACTGCTCATGTCTATAGGCGACGGTTACTACTTTCCATCAGGTGGGCCGTCAGCTTTTTAAAAGCAGCAATTTAAAAATTTATTTGTTTTGTAGTAAAATGATTATTGTTATTTTAATTGTTAATTAAACATATTATAAAGATGAACCCTACTAACAATACAACAAGTGTATTAAAATTTAACAAATAAAAAAATAAGGCCAACAATATAATTACAGTTATTAGACATGAATAGTATAAAATTTAAAAAGATGACCCGTTAAATCTGACAGCCAGCGCAATAAAAATATTATTATGTGCGATAAATAATAATTCACCATATCAGCCTTTAACTGTCCACTGCTGAACATAAGCCTAACCCTTGGGGGGTTTAGCCAGTGGTTGACATGCTTGGCAGGTGGAGTAGCAACTCAGACATAAGAGATGTTTTAAGAAGGACGCTGCTGCCCATCCCTCGTCCTCCCTTAGTCGGTTCTTACGACACCAACGGGAAAGGCCTATTCTATGCCGAGACCATACGGCCAAAATAATAATTACTTATTTATAATTGTTCAAAATATTATAAATAAATACGATTCAAAATATTTAATAATAATTGTTCAATAGAGAACATAAAAAATTAATATTAAAATAAATTGTTTACATTTTTGTTTCTGGCAATGTTAATTTTTCTTTTTATTTATTTATTTTTTGTTGTATAAAAATATTATTTGTAAGTGGCAATTATTGTATTTTTTGCCAATGAACAAGTCTACGTATAAAGTGTCGTGTGCTATAAATTGTCGGTTCGATAAACTATTTTAACAAAATAAAAATAAGACTTTTCTATAAACATAATAATTCTCATAGCAATAAAAATGAGATACGTAATGCGTGCCCGAGCAAAAATACACCGCGCGGTCACCGCAAATCAATTTACTCAGTTTTTACCCCGCGCGATAATATCGCTCGATTCAATTTTCTGTCGTGCGCTCGCGCGCTGTTTTGTCGCGTGCAACAGTCGTAAGAAATTTAATTTACATCGTTCTCAAATGCCATACGTTTTTGGACGATAATCTTACGGCGACATCGTAAGTTATAACAATCATTGAAATATTTCTTATGGTAATTTACATGTTTCCATCCAGAGATATGGCCATATATGGGATTATGAAGGGTCTACGACTTTAGAATGGAATAGCGAAATAAAAAGATAAATTTAAAAAAATTATGTAAAAATGCGAAATTGTTTGTCGTTTATTTTCTACGTAAGAAAGAAAAAATATGATACAGTAGCGACAAATTTTAATGTTGGTTTAAATATTTATGTAAAAATGAATTGGAAGACAGTTCATTTTATTACTAAATATAATGACGTGTTGATATAATTTTGATGCGAATTAATATAAATATATTTGCGTATTTTTTAAATTAAAAATAACTTTTAAAAAATAAACATAAAAAAATGTTTATAAAAATAAAACAAAAATATTCTTTCTTCAGTAAAAATAAACAAAATATTAAATAACACATAATATGTATTCATATTCCAAACAAGTTTTACGGTGTTGTATTTTAATTTAAAAATTAAATCTCCATTGTTAAAAATTCTAGATAAATTTTATAATTATTAAAAACTAATTTCCTAATAATTATTCCGAGCAGGTTTATAATTTAATTAATAATTTTATAGGGACCACAGACAAATTGAATGGTAACGGTAAATTAAAATATACGACACAATATTGCATGCCACTGTTTTGGCAAAACACACATATTCATAACATATTTATTACTAACATCTGTATACCGTGTTTTTCAGCAAATAAATAAATAATTATTAATTATTATAATAAAATATAAAAAAATAAAACATAAAATTTATAATAAAATATAAAAAATAATAAAACATAAAATTACTCACTTTACAGCCTTCACATGTAAATGCACCAAAATGAAATCCCGCCGCTGGCTCGCCGCAAACTTTACACTGCTGGTTCATCTGTAAAAAAAGAATATATCTATTTAAAATAAGAATTGCGCTTCATACTTTCGTATTTGGAATAATATTTGAAATAAGAATTTCATTTATATTATATTTAAAATAAGTATCAATAAATATTAAATATATTTATTTGGAAACTTATAAAAACACCAAGGGCTATGTAATGTTAAATAAATTTTTTTCCTTGTCAATTAAATATTTATTTTTTAGAAAAAAATAAACATGTAATATTTAAAAATATATTTTCTTTGTAAATAAATATTTATTCTTTTATTATAAAAAAATATTTAAAACAAATAAAAATGTTTTTAAAGCTGCCACATTCAGGTACATAACTATAAATTTATAAATATTTAAAAATATATTTTCTTTGTAAACAAATATTTATTTTTTATTAAAAAAAAACATATGTAAACAAACAAAAATCTTGTCGAAACTACCGCACTCGATTCCATAATTATAAATTTAATGTGTTATTATGTTTGCCTCAGTAATTTACTTTTGACATACCAAAGTGACGTTCTGTTTGTTGTATTTTCTCTTAAATTATATGGCTGTGAAGAGCTCGTTCCCTTTCGTTACATTTTTAACAAAAAAACCGGCCAAGTTGTTTCCGATACAGAGCTTTTGGGTTCCGTAACTATAGTTTAAGTTTTTAATTACACCGTTCCAGGTAGTAACTATAAGATATTAAGAAGATTCTGCCACTGACTGTGTTGGAGGTAATTTATAATTATTTTGTATGACTGATAATCAAATAGGCATAACAAATATATAGCGTATTTCAGCAGACTGGATTGATCATAATTCATTTAAATTTTTTTTTATATAACTTAGAATGGCAAACAAGCTGACGGCACACCTGATGGAAAGTGGCAACCGTCGCCTATAGACATTAGCAAAACTATGGACATAACAAAGTATACTGTTTCGCCCATGATACCCCTGAGAACTCAGGTGTTATTTCTGATGATCGATTTAACTTTTTATTTTATGTAAAAAAAAATACTATTTGTTGGCAAGTGCATAATTTCTGCATATACATATATATGTATAATTAAAAAAATTAAAAGAAAAGTAATAAATTTTATCGATATTTCACTATTATAATATTTAGATAAAAACTTTTAGTTCATTCAAATGACAATTTATTTATAGTTCAAATATATATAATTGTGGAATACATTAATCATGGCATCTTTATTGCTCGCCGCCAAGGTGTGGCATAATATTTATTTATATGTATATTAGTTAAAAAGGCAGTTGATTGGTTACACAAATATTTGATATTATAGACGTATAACTATATGACATTTTACTGAACTAGGTATTATCTTGCGAAAGTCCACACCACTGGTTAGTTGATTAGAACTATTTTTTTTAATTCCGCTACCGTTAGTATGTGTGTGACTGCCAACACTGGAAGATCGACCACCACTATTACTACCCGAAGTTCCACAACCTTTCTTTGACTGGGAATAGGCGATGGTAACCATTTACCATTAGGTGAGCCATCAGCTTGTTCGCCATTCAAAGTTGCATATAAAAAAAAATATATATCTCCTGTAATTTTCAATTGTATTGTATAATTTTGTGTAATTATTTCATTTATATTAAATACATATGTGTCAAATTTATTGACTGGTAAATTATTTATTTGTGTTATTGCATAGTATGTGTTATTAAATTTGTATGTTTGTCTAAAATAAATAAATAAATATTAATGTTATTATTTATTATAAAATAATGAAAATAACAACAATTAATAATTTTACTTTACATTAATGTAAAATAATAAATATTAATGAATGAATGATAATTTTATTTGCTGGAACACAGGTTAATACTTTAGAAACATTTAATTTTAAAGAAAAATTAAGCAATTAAAAAATTAAATAATTAAGCAATTGAATATTTTCATATATAAAATTTATATATATTTTTTTATTATATTTAAAATTTAATGTCGCATTTATTATTTATTTTATATAAATTATACATTAAAAAATAAAAATAAATTTATTGTGCATAATTAATCGTCTAAATAAATAAGTCCGCCTTTTGTACCATACATTTTTTTGTAATGTGGTCAATAAAGAATAAATTAAAATAAAATAAAATAAAAAGAAATATTCTAATTTCGTCATAAATATTCTTCTAAATTAATACTCCTATTTCGACGTGTCTATTATAATCGAATTCGAAACACAAATCATCGATTTGACATCGAAATCATAGGAAAAAAAAACCAGAAGACGATCAAGTGTTATCACAATCGAAATGTCGATGAGGCAACGGATGCGGCTCCCAAAAAAAAAAAAATTAAACACACATAGTAGTCACGATTTTTTTACATTACAATATTACAATAACAAATCGAGTGGCCACAAGTGTACGGTCGTGTTTAATCAGGCCTGTGGATTGTATAACGGCTTGAACAATATTTTGAAACTAATAAGTTTCCTGGTAGCGTGAAGGGTGCTGGGTTTCATCATCATCATCATCATCATCATCATATTAGTCGTTTACTGTGCACTGTTAATCACAGACCTCCCCATAGACTGGCCCAGTATTTACCGTGAGAGGAAAGCGGAAGTTGCTACGTAAAGTTTAAGTCAACTCGTAACAGTGGAAATATCGATATTTTGCAATTTTTTTTTATACCACTGAGGTGGCAAACAAGCATACGGCCCACCTGATGGTAAGCGGTTACCGTAGCCTATGAACGCCTGCAATACCAGAGGTATTATTACGCGCGCGTTGCCGACCCTAAAATTTTGATGGTTAACCACAAATATTTTCTGACTATTTCTGATTATTTCTGATTATCAAATGCGACGAAATCAAAGGGGTTTAAGATTATCAGATAACGCAGTGAAATCTGTAATGTCCAGGGCTAGTACCATGGTTCGTGACCTGCTGTCCCTCCTCACCCTTCCTTAGTCGCCTCTTGCGATACCCACGGCAAAGGAAGGGGTGATCTATTCTATATCCGGACAATAACCTTAAATGATCCAAAAATGTCATCTAATAGTATTCACTTCTTATTTATTTATTTATTTATTTATTTCTTATTGCATTCCATAATATAATTAGTAGATAACATTTCAATTATGGACCCTGTTGGGTACAGCGAGTACGAGAGAGGAGGACAACAGTTTTTTCACTTTAGAAATAGTCTAAGGATCTGTTACAATATTATCCAGTCATTGAAATTGTATCACGATAGCTACGTATTTTCTTATTATTATTATTATTCATTATTTAAGTATTGGTGTGGTGTGTATCTATTCATATCGTAATTGTTATGAAAAATAGTGACAATTTATATAGCAATACACAATATAAATATAATTATTTAATATATTCGTAATTGTTATTGTATTATATAGTTATTTAATATATTCTGTAGTATATAATTATTTATATTCATATTGTAAAATTAATTAATAAATAGTTTAATAATAAAATTTCAGCAATGTCAGTTTTAGCTATGTCTTAAATCATTATCAATTCACAATTAGTTATTTATTTATAAATTACAAGATAAATTCTGCTTGTCATTATTGTTCAATCTACAAAAAAAAAAAAAAAAAACTCACAAAACGACCTTATTATTGTAAAAACAAACACACAGTTTCTGAAGTATTTGCCCCATAATAGCAATTTACTGATTTACATCACAATATTATCACAATATATTGACATTACTATTGGAATGTTTAAATGACATAATGTTCACGCCGGCTTCAAGTGTCAACTTATTACTGTGACATAGCAGTTTTGGAGTTACGTCAATGTGTTGTAATATACAATCAAACAGTCGCCGAGATGCCTTTTACTTCTGCTATACACTGGAGTTAGAAAAGTGAATTAAAAAACTAGATGTTCTCGATTGATTTGTATTTTTAGTAACAATTGTTAGTAATTTAGACTAGCGTATATTTTGTTAAGGAATTATCGTGGATATATAATGGATGAATTGGTTACGATTGGGATAATTGACCTGCATTTGCATGGCTGTGTTTCGGTTTAAAGGGTGGCATATGATAGTTAATTTACAAGGCACAGAGGAATAACACCTGAGTCCTCAGGAATGGCAACGCATGGGGGGTATTATAGGCGAAACAGTATACTCTGTTATGTCCATGGTACTGCTCATGTCTATAGGCGACCGTTACCACTTTACATCAGGTGGACCGTCAGCTTGTTTGCCATTCTAAGTTGTATAAAAAAAAGGTAGTCCTCCTGTCTACTACTTGCTGTAGGTACCCAACAAGATCCATAATTAGACTTGTTTCAATATTTACCAACCACATTACTGAATGCAGTAAGAAATAAATAATAGACAAGAACCAAACCCACGACCATTAGAAGGTGAGGTGGTATTTTAAACCACTACACTACTAAGTTTTACTATCTCTAATTAATTTAGTTTGTTAACGGTTAAAACGATTATAATTTTCAAAAAAGGAACAATCGTGAAATTGCGTGTTTGCATTGTGCATTTTACAACTTGGCAACTTACGTACGCTCCGGCCGATTCACTTACTTACGTTTTTTTTTTTGAAAAATTAAATAAATGTCCGGTAATAACACGTTCGGGTTTGAGTTAACAAGATGGCGTGACTGTACCGTGTTAACGTCGGTTTGTTTCGCGTGTAGATGGGCGCTCAGAGGCGTCGTGACGTGTGCTCGAGCCGAAGACAGACGGACAGCCTGTTATATCAACAAGATCGGTAAACTTTAAAATGTTTTATTTTATAACCATCTTTATATATGTATATCTATGTATATCTGTGTATATGTGGATTTCAAAAATGCAAAAAACTTATGAAATAGATAGATAGATAGACTTTTTTAACACCAATGTCATGCATTTTGTTTCTTTGTACACCACACTCGCGCAACACTACCCACACATGTAACACATACTTTTACACTAATCATTGCTGAACTTCCAGTGATGCGACGTTTCAAATAAGTGTCTTCATAGA